AAAACTTGCTTGTCACGATATTAGCAAACACAAAAGCTAAGGCAGCTAACATTTAGTTGGCTTAACTTACATATTTTTTTCCGTGCACTCTGGTGGCACTTTCGGCATACTTTTTGTATACTTTTTGTATACTTTTTTTTTTACACTTTTAGGACACTTTGACCAGTCACAATTTTGGCTCTTTTTCTATTTTCCATGCGGGGGTCGTTGGTTCGATTTCATGCCGCTCGTTCTCCGCTACCCGCGACTCGGCGGGTCGCGACCTTTTCCTCTGAGATATTGGCGAACCAAAGTGGACAAACCACGACACACTAATGCACATATGCTCCTCAACAACGCTCACTGATAAATTAAGTGTTCAACAGACGTGGGCATTCAAGTGCTCAACACTATGTTGAACTCTTTAACACGTTGAGTCCCACGTGACCACACGTGGTCACAATAACACGTGATGCCGCCCCCCCCCCCTGGGACTCAACGTGTTAAAGTGTTTAACTGGATATTTGAATACAATTAAGTTTTAAAAGTTAAGTTGCACACTTGTAAGTGTTCAACGCCAGGGTTGGCCACGCCCTTTGGACACTTTACAATATACAAATATCCAGTCAAACACTCAAAAGTGTGCAACATAGTTGTGCCCTAACATGTGCACGCCAGTTGAACACTTTTATTCATCAGTGAATTATTTCGTTCAAACTCGATGAAAGTAAAGTCTCTTTTTAACCACTAAACAGCTCGTCTCATCAGCCTCGTCATCAGCCAATATTACGAAAAATATAAGGAAACGTGACTTCACAAAAACAGAATTCTTGTAAAACCATGCGGTGGGTGACTATCGAAAAGAACCGTCAGAGGCGCCCCTTTTTCCTTGGGCAGCACAGTGGTACTATACGCGAATTGCAGTCAACGCCCCTAGTATCCACCTGTCGCCGCAGCCTCTCCCGACCACAACCGCCGACAACAGGCGCGCGCTCAACCCCATTCAGCGCAAAACCTCCTCTCAAACCTAACGCAATACGGCCTCCTCCTCCTCCACCCACCCTCCTCACCACCCAACACCACTCGTTAAACTTTTACCCCCTCCCCCCTCTCCTCCAACCCCTCAGCTGAATCACCTGTCGCATAAACCGGAGAGACTTGGACAGCCACTGTGGTGCGACCTTCACAAGGCCTCCCGCCGCTCCCACGCATAGCAGCAGGGTGGTGGGCACACAGAAAAAAGAATAATTGAAAATAAGGGCTGGAAAAAAAAAGAAGAGAGACGAAATAGCCAGCACAGAAGAAGCAACACGATACGCGCGTGCAAAGGAAAATAAGAAAAAGAATTACGGAATAAAGAGAGGGAGGGCAAAAAAAGAAAACCTACTCCCTCTGGTTCGCCTGGTCCGCGCTGGCGGGTCCCTATGCCCGACCAATAACCGCAGAGCGCGAGGGAAATTGGCGGTCATCGACGCACCATTGTCGGCGAGGTCAAGCAGGATCGGCGCGGGCGATACGGCCCCCTCGGTGGCCTGGATCGGTCCGGCTCTGACTGCTGCCAATGATCGTCCGCGGCGGGATGAGTGAAGGGCGCGCGGGAGCCTCGGGGGGAGGAGGAGGGGAGGGGAGGGGGAGGAAAAGGGCGTCATCCTACCCGAAGGTCAATCACGTCCATATTCCCCCCCACCGACCGTCCCGTCGCGCGCGCGCCCAAATCAATTTACCGTGCGGATTCGCCGATGGGCCAAGCGGATTTGCCGATGGGCCAAAGAGGGATTATAATTACAATAACAGTATAGATACACTCGCAGAAACGTTTTCCGATTGTAAGTGAACGGCGTGTACTGTGGGTATTCGCGCCGAGCCACAGTCGACAAAAAGCAAACCTATTCCTTAACTGTGCGTAGTTTCATTCCATTACAACACCCCCAGCCCCGCCTCTTATAAAAAGTTCGAACTCTATAAGAGAGTAGAAAGCAAATCTCACGATTGACAAGATATAATGCTGTACCTAATTGAGGTAAAGGACATTCTCAGAGTAATGCGTCATAATATAGTAGTATACTCTAAACTCTCTGTAGGAATAAGTATAAGTAAAATAGAGAGGGCGACGGTGTTAACGGGTTTGTCTCCTACCAGCAACCGTCATGGCGCCTCAACGAGCGGAGAGACAGTGAGTGAACCGACCGACCGACACCACCCCCACCCCCACCCCCAGCCCCCCCCCCCTCCCTCCCTCGCACGTGGTGCATATCGTCAGCGGCGCCACGCCCTGTAAGGCAGAGTCGGGCCTCGTGTGAGGGGCGCGCCATCAGTCACGGACCACTGGCTTGGGTTAGGTTAGTGAATGTGAAATAGGAGATGGAACGGGATCGGGTCGCTCCAAGGGGAGGTGGGCGCGCCTCGGGCCGGGCCGGGCCGGGCAGGCTGGCCGGGTGGGCCTCCCGTCGCTCCGCATTGACGTGTAGTGTGACAGAGGTGTGGCGCGGTGGCTGGAGGCTAGGGGGAGGTTTCTGCCAGGTTGCTAGAGGCAGGGGTCCGAGCTGAAGCCGGGGTAGCTGGAATCGGGGGCTGGAGCCGGATGGCTGGAGTCGGGGGCTGGAGGCGGGTAGCTGGAGCCGGCGGGTGGCTGAGGTAGAGGGTCGGGGCTGGGCGGTGCAACTCTACGGGCCTTATCTCCTCTCCCGGGAGGAACAACAACTTGAGGCGCGGCGCGAGGAAGCAACGTCAGGGAGTCGGCAGGTGTGTTTAACTGACTACTGCTGCGGCTGCTCGTGGATGTGAGCGGTGGCGGGGCGTGGTAGGGCGTGGTAGGGCGTGGCGGGGCGTGGCGGGGCGTGGCGGGGCGTGGCGTGGCGTAGCGTGGCGGGGCGTGGCCTGGCGAAGCGGCGTGGTCCGTGGCGGGGCGGGGTGTGCTAGGCCAACAGCACAAACAGCCATCCAGTCCCCAAACGACCTCCTCCCGCTCGGCTGACTGATAAAAAGACATCAGACAAAACTTCGCCAGGAAAGGGAGGAAAGAAACCCCCGGGCAGAGAGCGGCGCTGCTGCCGCGCCGCTGCTGCTGCTGTGGGGTATCCTTGGGAAGGACGCGCCGCCCGCCCCGCCCGCCGTGTCCCACTTGAGCAAACTGCCTCCCCAGCGACGGGCTTGAGCGATGGGTACCGCCAGCGCAAAGCTGCGCCACGACAACGCCACGTCCAAAATGAATTCAGACGCGCGCAGCAGCCGCAGCTTCAGTAGCGTAAAAAGAGTGACGTCCACTCCACATCACGACTCTCAAACAAAAAGCGAACTCTGTGTGCGGCTCGCAAGTGGGGGTATTTAGTGAGGAGGCATTTGCGGCCCGCGGCGCCACTCGGAGGCAGCGGAGCGCAGCAGGGCAGGCCGCAAACAGCTTCTTCTCCGCCTCCGCCTGGGTCCGGGTCACTAACGGCCCCCCGTCAGTCGCAAGCGCAGAGCGCCCAGCGGAGAGGGGCTAGGCAGACCGGCCGGCGGGCACGCTGAGCGGGCGGCCTACCCACGGCTCTGCAGGCGCTCGCGTCGCGTCGCGCTGTGTCGGTGGCTCGATAACTGCGTAACGTACCGTCAATCGATACCTTGTTTTACATTGCCATATCTTGATACTACTTGACATTGCAAATATTTCTAGATATTTCTGAAAATACTGAGATAAAAAACTTATTGATACTGCACAGCTCTGCTCTGCCGTTAAGCCTACTCAGATCTACACCATACTCACCAAGATGCAGTCCTGCTCGACAGCGCGGAGGTCGGCCACAATGGAGGACGAGAAGGACCTGCGCGCGTGTCCCGCCTGCTGCTGGGCGCGCGCCGAGCGCGTCTGGCGCTGCTGGCGCGACTGCCTGGAGGCCGTGTGGAAGGCGGCGTGCTGCTGGCGGTGCGAGCAGGCCTCGGCCCACTGCGACTCGAGCGGCAGTTCATGGCCCCCGCGGCACACCTCCTCGTCAGAGTCCGAGGCCGGGAACACGCGCTCGCTCTGCATGCAGCACATCGCCATGGCGGCGACGGCCCGGGGCGAGGCCCGGGGCGAGCGCTGACAGTGCTGAGGCCCACCACCACCACCGCCTACGCCTGGCGGGGGCGGCCCCGGGGGCGGCGGCCCGGGGGCGGGGGGCCCAAGGGGGCCGAGGAGGCCGAGCGGGCGCCGAGGGGCTGGCCGCGTGCCGCAGCCATGGCCGAGCCTCTGGCCGGGCCTCGGCCTCGGGTCGGGCGAGGCCAAACGGTCCTGAAATAATCGCACCCGTGAGAGACGTCTGCTGTTGCTGCCTCCGCTGCTCAGAGTCGAGGCCGTGCGTTTGCCGTTGGTGGGGGGCGGGGGAGGCCTGCGCGCAGGCCCGTCCCATCATATCACTCATCGCATACATTAAAAGCACTGCATACATTCATATCATGCAAATAATAGGGAGAGAGTCTGCCATGATGAGTTTGCGTCGAGGTGCGAGTCCTTTCCCAAATTACATTATATCCACATTTGATATTGCGTGTCCGCGCGGCGCCCATTTCACATTTCAAACAAAGATGATGGATCGGACAAGCAAACGCGTTTACAGTACGGCAAACAGCGAACTCATTCGAGAAAATAAGGAGCAAGACAGAGCGAGATGGGGGGGCAAAGGGGGAAGGCTCTCTGTACTACCCGTTGGTAGTGGGGATGACGTAAACGCCTCGTAAACTTTTTCCTCCTTTTCTCCCCACAGACACATTCATTATTCTTCCCCTGACCCCCCACTGCTCGCCCCTCCCCTTCCCGTTCCCACCCCCTCGCCAGCGCGACAGTAACACGGAGATGGCGTCCCTTTGTTCGGTTAATAGATAAATAGGACCTTTGACTGGCCCGGCCGGGCCCGGCCAGCCTGCGCGCGCCGCTCGCCGTTGTCTTGTTAGGAATGTTTCGGAGAAGAAAAGTCCCCCCAGCTCCCCCGGCGAGGCCAGGGCACAAGGACTCCCCGCGAGGTCCAGCGGAGGCGCGAGAGGGCGAGGGGTGGCACTAAAAAGTGACGGCCAGCATACTAAACAAAAAAAAAAAACACTCGAAAAAGAAAAAACCACAATAAACGGGCGCAATGATGCGCGCGGCTGGTATAAGGTGGCCGGCCGACGCCATTCTGCGGGGTCTCCTCCGGTCTCCTCCGCGGCGGCAACTCGGTTAGCCCCGGTCCTTGGTTTTCAAGGACATTTTTGCATTTTCAAGGACCAAAACTCCGTTTCAAGCACGGGTCCTTGAAAACGGACAGAAAATGGCTGTTTTCAAGGGCCGTCCTTGAAAACCGAAGACCAGTATTCAAGGACGGCGTCAAACCGAGTCAAGGAAGACGTCACGTCCAATCAAGGACGACTCAGGCTGGCCCAGGATGTCGCCACCAGCTCAACGACGATGGGTTCGAGACCAGGACGTACCAGATAGAGTCCCCGAGGCCACCGGCGGGTCCCTCAGGTCCCTGAGGGCCTAGGCTGGGACCTCAGG